CCAAAAAAAAACAACAACAAACAAACGAAATAAATAGCACCTAGACGACTATTACTATTATGTCGTATTCCAGTCGGCCTATCGAGCGTTGCTGTTGGACGAAAGGCCTTGTCGGCACTAGATATAGCAAATGTAGTGTGGTTGACAAAACATATTTGTCTGTGCTTTTAGTGATACATTCTTAGAGTTAATATCTGTTTTTGTTTCTATATCGCTCTTTTAACAAGATCGTACGGCTATTTGTTGGCTCTGTCACCAAAATAATGGCAGTTTTATTTTGATCACGGTTAGCGGGAACAACACTAGTCTGTAGTTGGCCGTAGGGATTCTTAGAAGGAAATGCTTATGGGAATAACCCATGAGATTTGGAGGATCTCAAAACACTATTAGAAATGAATCTGTAAGGGCCACTGAATACTATCCAGAATACATTATGTTTAGGCTTAAGATGCTAATTGAGAATGATCTAAATGATATTTAATACCTTCTGTCCAAACCTTATGATTCTCAATTTGAGAATGATCTAAATGATATTTAATACCTTCTGTCCAAACCTTATGATTCTCAAGACGAAATGGTTCCGATGAAATTTTGGGTACCCTAAATCGGACAAGTAGTTTTTTTAGGTGTAATAGTTTTCAACAGGACACGAGAACTTTTTATAATGTATCAGTTCTACCACAAATGCATAGTTACGTATGATGTGACTGAAACCGTTACTAATTCAACATTTATATAACTAATTTCTTTTCAGGCACATTGTGCTACCATATTAAGAATTAAAAACACAAAACCCGACGTTTTTTTTTTTTAGCAAAATGAAAGATAAAACTTGTATTATTAGTTAAGCCTACTAGTTTCGGTAACAGATACTAGCCCTGATGATGGTAACTGTGTTACCGAAACTAATCGGTTGTAACTAATAATAAATAAGAGGGGGGGGGGGGAAAACGACAATTGTACGTTTCACAAAAAATTCATTTATTAATAGCCATGAAGATGCCTTTACTGACGAAATCATGATCTTTAATAAATGAAGTTTTTGTGAAACGTACAATTGTCTGTTTTTTTCACCTAAATTCTGCAATTATATGAAGTTTCACTAAGTACCATGGATCAATTAACAGTAAAGTCTTTACGTCGGTTTATGTATTTTTTACTCTTAATTTATATAACTAATTTAGAATATATCTCTAGTCAGGTACATTCAAATATTTTCCCTAAATTCTCAAGCTGTGTTATGCGTGTAGTTTTGACAACACCGAATCCTGAACAAAGTTGAAACGGTCAGCCACTGCCTAGTTCCGAGTGGTACGTGAGGAAAAAGTCTTGGTAGCTCAGGTGAAGAGGACGATGTTTCGAAAAACTTTCCACCCCCCAGTGGCACATCAGTATGTCTACGGACTTACAACGCTAGAATCTGGGTTTCGATACCCGTGGTGGGCAGAGCACAGATAGCCCATTGTGTAGCTTTGTGCTTAATTACAAACAAAACAAAAAACTTTCCTTTTGGGGAACATACCCTGGACCTGAAGACAAAAGTCCTCTACTTAAATCATTTATAAAATGTGCTAATCCTTTTACAAAGGTAAAGTTTACATGCTGGAACTTAATCTTTTTATGTAGGCGTTTCTGTATGGACCTTCTATAGAGGTAATTCATACAAACATGTGATAAAGAATTCGGTGACGAGGAGCCCACTTTGAGACTAATAATGGCTGGAGACAGCTTGAATGGGTAATGAAGAAAAACTTTAATATAAGTTTAACATAACAGCAAATGTACAACGTTTCGACAAGAAAGCTCAGGATATGTATATTATTATAATGGACATAGCACGTATATATGTATCTATCTATGTATATGCTAGTATTATTAAACTATGTACAAAAGCTTCTATACTAATTCCTCAAATGATTTTTGCAAGTGAAAGTTCTTTATGCTGAAGCCCCAAGACCTCTGATCAAACAAAAATAACAAAAGAATCTCTTATAATTTATTCTAACTAAGAAAAAAAAAAAGTTGTTGTCAGTTTGTTTTAACTCCATTGAGTAGTTGTTTTGGAACTCTGGACTTGCATTTACAAAGTATTATGCAAATATTTGTTTTCCGTCATCTTAAAAAAATGGTTCAAAGATAATATTGTATGTTACCATATTTCATATGGTGTTTCAATGAAGAACACCAACATGTATAATTCACACATTAACTATTTAATTGTTAACGATAATTTTAACCAGAAACTTTCAGTTTTCAAAAAAAAATTACAACAACAAAAAACAGTTTATTCAAATCCAAAAATGAAAAGATATGATACATTCTGACATCTGAAATTGACTGATATTCATGATTTTACAAAACGACAGAAGCGTACTCAGCAAAGTTTGAAAATAAGCATATTCTGGTTTTTGCAAATAAGATTTCATTGAATAGTTTTACACTTTCATTACACCTAGATAAAAAATACAATTTTCATTTTTAAAGTATTTTATAACAACAATAATTTACAATAATAACGCAGAATGAGCACTCCTAATATACAAGTTTATTTACAAAATACTTTGTTAGAAGGAACCAAAGTTTCACTACATAACTCCGTCAGCTGAGGATTAAAAATACAAAATCAATCCAATCTAACAAATACATTGAATAATTTTACTGTATTAAGAGAGAAAAATTATTGGTAAGAGTCAAATAAAAAAACAATGTACGTACATGAACATGATAAACATGTATTTCAAGTAGTCCTTACCACAAATCTAAAAAAAAAAAAGAGTCATAAATTAGTTCAAAGTTTGGCACAATGTTGGTAATCTTTCAAAATGATCTTAGGTTAGTAACTCATCACTACAAACAAATAAGATATTGTTATTTTAGTTCATGAATCAATGGAGCACTGCTTTCCTTGGCTTTCATGACATTTTTACAAGCAAAGCTGTTATCAGTCACAGTGGAATTCACTTAAGTCAGCATTTCTCAATCTGTGGTCCAAGGGCTCCCTTCAGGTGGTCCGCGGAAAGATTGCATAATTACAGAAAGGAAGTGGCAGTATAGTGATAAATCCCTTTGCAGTCCACTGAGAAAAAAAAATTCAAGTTGTCCACTGACTGAAGCTATGCCACAACATCCTGTGCAGAAAATAAAATACAAAAACCAGAAAGAACGGTGGTTGCTGATAACCACCATGAGACCACACACACAGTGAGTTATTGGTGTTGATAACTACATAAAATGGTTGCTTTCTTGTATCTAAAAACACAAAGCCTGTATATATATAAAATGTAATAAATATTCAGTCAGTCATGGTTGCCCGAGATACTGCCATCAAGGTACGATGTAAAATAAGGTTATCTCTTTAACTTTATTGGCAGATTAAATCTAGTTCACAACTGCCACCATTTGGAAAGGGGTAGCTCGTATACATTATTTAAATTATAATTATTGCTACAAACAACTCTTCAGGTTTTATATCTTGAATAAGTGTGCACACTTTAATAGTAAGTCAGAAGAGGTTATATTAAATTTTCATATGAAGTAAGAGGACACAATGCACATGATAACGAATACTGGGTAAAGCTACATGAATGTTTCCTCAGCCTATTGAGGTGATACAAGATAAGTGTAAAGAACAAACTCTTTTTAGCTATCCTCATAAGCTATACCTTTTATAATATGTTTGATCTTAACAACAAAATACCTTGATGCTTATACACAACAACGAATGTTTCACTATTGTTGTTCAACCAATATGTTCTTTTTATTGTGTATGAAATTGTTTTTTTTTTGCATTTTGTGGGTAAATCTGAGGAGCACCTTGTTAATTGTTTGACAGTGTTATGTATCTTCACGAGTGTTGAATGCTTATATCTTCCCGAGCATTAAGTGCTTAGTTTGAAATACTTAGCCATAATTTTGTACTCATTTCTGGCATAGCTCTATAGCTGATGGTGGCAATTTGTGGTTGTTGCAGACACTTTTACAGGGGGGAAGGGGGTATTAGAATTATTTCCAACTCCACATTATAAGGTGAATTAATGCAATAAATCTGTAGCAATTCTGTTTCTTTTAATCACCCGTAAGAGCACTATTAGAACAAAACCAATGGCATAGTAAAGCTCAACTAGTCTATCTACAACCAACTATTTTGTTTTTATGAATATTTAAACAAATTTTATTTCGGCTGGATCAAAAAGTAATTGCACGAATATTTATTTACATTAGCTGAGATTTGGTTGTTAGGAGATAATTTCCTTTACAGACCAAATATTTCACTCGAGGTTAGACTGCATGAAATAAAGTGAGAAATAATATATTTTACGTTGGGGAAGTCATTACTACAGAATGTTAGTGGTCAAAACAATTTGATAATTTTCTGAGTGGTCTTTTAATTAAGAACATTCATGCATATGTGGCAATATTTTACCTTGACAACTGGACTGGTATCTAAATAAACCTAAAGAAAATGGTACCATATAAGCCTTGACACCTGGACTTGCATCTGAATGTACACAAAGAGAGTGGTACCATATAAGTCTTGACACCTGGACTTGCATCTGAATGTACACAAAGAGAGTGGTACCATATAAGTCTTGCCACCTCGACTTGCATCTGGATGTACCGAAAGAGAATTAATGGTACCATATAATCCTTGACACCTGGACTTGCATGTATCCAAAGAAAATGGTACCATACAAGCCTTGACACCTGGACTTGCATCTGAATGTACACAAATAGAATGGTACCATATAAGCCTTGACATCTGGACTTGTTGGTACCACTCTCTTTGTGTACATCCAGATCATAAGCCTTAACACCTGGACTTGCATCTGAATGTATCCAAGGAGAATGAATGGTACCATATAAGTCTTGACACCTGGACTTTCATCTGGATGTACCCAAAGAGAATGAATGGTACCACATAAGCCTTAACACCTGGACTTGCATGTACCTAAAGAGAGTGGTATCGTATGAGCCTTGACACCTGGACTTGTATCTGGATGTACACAAAGAAAGTGGTACCATATAAGCTCATATTGGGAACTAACCATTGATAGCAAGAAGTTTCAACTGCAAAAATTCAATATTTTTTCCTTTTAACTCACAGACAAAAGTTGAAAATTAGCATCAAGTGAAGATAAGAATTTGCTTTTGAAACCAGACCTGACACCTGACCTGTGAATTAGTTTAAACATCTGATGAAAGTGTTCTAAAAGTACTTTATATGGCTACTTGGTTTATTATAATGCTACCCATTTGAATGATTTAGGCTTCAGTGTCATGATAAAACTTACTGTCATCATAAGTAAATTATCAACATATGCATGAACATCTCTTGTACTTTCTGACAGGAGCGGCATTACATCTTCATACTGCTACCGGTTTAGAAAACTTCCAGCAACTAAACTCCTACTCAAGTTCTTTTTTTTTATCAATTTAGACAACTACACAATATAAACCTTTCAAAAATTGTGGTCTGCGTGTATAGGTGTCCTAAGTCCTGAATTTCTCTTAACGCTACAATCCCGCAGACAGATTTTCTCTGGTAAACTACCAGGTTCCATGCTATTTGAAGAGTTTTCTGATGGTACATAAACATTACGATTTTCATTCTTCCTTGAATATAATCTTTCTCCATTGCACTGTCTTTTTCTCATGATTAGGTAAGTCACAATAAATGCTGCAAAGACACCTGTTAAGAATGATCCAACGCAAAAACCAACAACTTTGGCTTTTGATATCCCAGAATCCTTTAGTGTCACCTGCAAAATCTGCAGTCCTACAAAACAGTAAGAAAAAAAGTTGTAAGTATTTTTCTAAGATCCAGTAAAACAAACAGTTTTTATTTTTAAACTTTCCTCATTTTTTTTCTTCTTCTTTTCAATCTGGAATATAAATGACAACTAGAATATTAAGACTACTAATAACAATTTGAAACATAAAAAAAATTATGATAATATCAAACATGTCACTTTTAATTGGTTCAGTATAGGGTTCCAAAAAGAACAGTTTGTACAAGTAATTTAACTGCAATTTGTTTATTTTTGTATAACAGAGCCAACTGAGGGTTTAATTCACTTTATAAAAAATTAAATTCTAAGTCTCTTGATGCTCTTGGAACTTTGTTTGTTATGAATTTCGCGCAAAGCTACACGAAGGCTGTCTGCACTAGCCATCCCTAATTTAGCAGTGTACGACTAGAGGGAAGGCAGCTAGTCATCACCACCCACCGCCAACTCTTGGGCTACTCTTTTATCAACGAATAGTGGGATTGACCATCAAATTATAACACCACCACGACTGAAAGGGTGAGCATGTTTGGTGGGATGGGGATTTGAACCCGCGACCCTCAGATTGCGAGTCGAGCGCCCTAACCACCTGGCCGTGCCGGGCCCCCTTGGGACTATCTCATTCATTGTGGACTGTATTTAAACTATGTATTATTGTCTGAAACCACAATTTCCACTGTAACAAGTTTCTGTAAAAGATGATAAGATCAATGTCAGATCATACATATTGACAGATTTTCCATAGATCTTCCACTATACATGATGGATGACAAAAACAATGCTAGATCATATATCATGACAACTTTTTCCACAGATTCTCCAGCATGCATGAATGTCAGTTAACTATATTTAACTTGACCAAAGACACAAAATTTAATAGTAATTGCTTCAGGGAACTTAACAGGTATGTGGTTGAAAAGGATTTCTTCAATTAAATTACACTTTCTCAAATGTTGAGGTGTGGCTGGAAGTTTATACCCCTTTGTCACCTTCAACTTTTTGTTTCATACTGTTAACTGTATCAGGAGAAATGCCCAGCTTTTTGGGTTGGAAGGTTCTCTTTTGTCACCACAGCCTTCATTTTGCAGATGAGAGTTACTCTAGAGTGGACTGGAGGTAGTTTTGGAGCACTGAGGTCTTAAAAGTTCTACTTTGCGTTTTTTTCTTCCCACTATCACGGAAGACTCTTTCAATTGTATCAGGAGATATGCCCAGCTTTTTGGGTTGGAAGGTTCTCTTTTGTCACCACAGCCTTCATTTTGCAGATGAGAGTTACTCTAGAGTGGACTGGAGGTAGTTTTGGAGCACTGCTGTCTTAAAAGTTCTACTTTGCATTTTTTTCTTCCCACTATCACGGAAGACTCTTTCAATTCTCAACTCTAACAGCAACAACTGAATATGAAATAATACCGATAAAAACAGAAATACTATACCAATGTTAATTATGTCTGCAACTTAAACTGTCATTTGAGCAACTACCAACTTTACCTTCCATATACTGTTACTTAAAAATTGATTAACTAAAAATTACTCTAGTGTTGTAATAATAATAATAGCTACACATTTCATTTCTGTAACAAACAAAATGTTGAGTGTTCTACAAAAGTGATTTAAAAGGGATATTTCCTGACTTAAGTGTACAGCATAAACCTTGCCTCTTTTCAATTAGAGATTTTATTTGTTGTAATGAAAATACCCAGAAAAAATAAAGGCCTAACCTGATTGCCCAGGGATACAAAGTCTTGTTTCTTTTGTTCGACCCATGCAGTGTCCAGACTGTGGTGTTATGCCGTTACACCTTCTTTGTCGGTGTTGTTCATTTTTTGGGTCACACAGTGACCAAACAGACCATTCCTTCCATCCATCTGAAATGATTGATGTTTAATCAATTTTCATGCTATTTTATAATCTTGTAAAAGCTCAAAATCTTTAACTAATGACAATGTACATGCAGAGACTAAATGAAAGATATACCAATTTGTTTAGTTTATAGTTTTCATTTACCAGAGTATACTTCAGAAGGCTTAATTCAAAAAAGTCATTTTGCATTCCTCCTCATCAAATGTGCCAAAATCTCAGTTCTGTGGTAATCCTACCACCAGAGTTAGGGAAAAATTGTTCTCATGTAACTGGTAGGTCCAAGGTGTTTAGAAGAGAGGAGGCATAACCTATTACAGTTGAGAATCAAATAGCTTGCTTTAAGTAACGAGAGATTACAAATAGTGGCTACAGAGACAACTTTAGGTTTTATTGGCAAAGTCTAGAGTTTGTGTCCTGCAGCTTCCAGAAGTTCTGCTACCACAGCGTGAGAGTAAATTCTTGAAACAACATTCATGATGTTAGAAAAACACGTGATTCAAGAAGTCTTGATACAAATGAATAAAATCCCTATAACCCTAGCACTTTCGAAAGGTGGACCTTTCTTCTTCAGGGGCAAACTGGGAAACAACTGTCCAAGTTAATAAAGCTTGAAAAATATTGTATTCTCTAAAATTGTATATATCTATTACATATATTGTCAAGAAGAAAATATTTTCCCAACTGTAATAAGTGATAAGAGTAGTCACTTAAAATCTAAAACTCAAAATAGAAATGAAATATATTGGTCAATACATCATTTTATATGCAAGAAAAAAGAACATTAATATATATATATATATATACCACACACACACACATACATACATACATACATATAAACATTAAGTATAAGTTAAAAATAACCATCAGGCAATAGTGACATAAATTCTGACTGAAACTGAAATATAAGTGTATTTATTGTCTGAAATATTGTATATTATATTAATTGTAAGAAATATTCTGGCAGTTGCACAACCTTAATTTATAAATTGATTCCGATTATCAGTAAGTCTAAGTTCATTAAAAACGATCTACTCACAAACGGATCTCTACACGATAACAAGTTCACAATTTTTAAATCCATACCAAATTTTTTATTGATATACGTTTATGTTTAGCAGCATTTATATAGCATTTGTTAATTTTTAAGTAAATCTAAGTAATTATAAATAATTGAAAACTTTTAGAATTATTAAGGTATACAAAGTAGACTTCCTCATGGTTCTGAAATCAATATCTACCAAACTTATATTTCAAGGAAGTGTAGGGATACGCAGAAGACCAATCTAAATTAGAATATTTTCATACCATATCTTAGTGCATGTATTCTGTTTTTGTCAGTTGTTATTCTTTTATCTACAAGTTTAAGGTAGACCTCTCTTATTTAATGTTAATTTCACTGAATTTATTTCAGTAAAGTATAAATTTTTTTTTTTTGTTCAGTAAAAGTATTTTGTTATTTTTTTTGTATAATATTCCTTACCTTTACAATCTTGGACATTACATGGTCTTTCCATACGTTGATCACCTTCGCAGTTTAAACCACTTCGAAAAGGATGCGGAGTCGAACAATTTCGTTCTCGTACCTGAACTCCACCTCCACAAGAGCTACTACAAGATGACCATTCTGACCATTCTAACCATGCTGCCACATCTCCATCATTGTTGATATATGCTTATATGATTATAGAAAGAATGAATTGAAACTATTTATTTAACACGATAGTATAATGTTTCAAATACGAAGTTTAACAATGTCCTGTTTGACATTATATGCTAATATGGAAGTGGAACACAAGTGTGTAATTTGTTAATAATTGTTGGCTTTATATGGTAATCATTCACAAACAAAAAAATAAGACCCTACTACAACAATATTTTCAAGCGTGATCTTTCATAGAAAAAGAGTTTGACTTTTATGCATAACAATGCTCATATCCAGAAGGAAAAATCATAATTAATATCTCTGCAACATTTTGTCTTTGGCTATGATTTAAATGCTGGTATTAGAAAGCTTAGGAAAAATAAGATCTCTTGAAACAATTTTTAAAATTTCTTGCAATACACATATATTTCATTTTATGAGTTTCTAACTATTACACATGCACATTGAAATGTGATACATCAGCTACTAACCACGGTTCTAAAACATTTACTTACAAAATGTAAAATTTCAGCAATTCTTATACCAGAGCATTGCAACATGTAATCCCTTGAGTTATATGTATATTTTATTTCAAGTGAAATTAAGAGAAAGCTTTAGGTTGTCAAATATCAAGAGAGAAAATCTGCAATCCATACCAGGGTCGAAACAAGTTTGGGTGTCATAGAGACAGAACCGTTCTTCTGTTTTCATGTGGCCAATGCGAATCAAATCTTCAGACAGTACACTGGCACGGCAGATGAACCTGAATCTCTGCTCAAAGTAACCATCTTTAGTGTTGTTTAGTCTCAACCAAGGAGACCACCTGCTAACTTTCCTTATCTCATCACATTTCTGTAGGTTACACTCCTGCTTCTGGGTAGCACAACCAATGCACTCAAGTCCACCATTTTTTGGAGAAGGGTTGTTGCATTTTCGATGTCGAACCTGATATCCACCTCCACATTTAACATTACATTCACTCCATGCTGACCATTTGGACCATTTACCGTCAACAGGGGGAACCGAAGGTCCTAATAAAATAGAGATCTCAGACATAAGTAATAAAGAAAAGTTTTGAAGTTTATTTCTAAACTTTACACTTTATAGAAAGGTATATCAAATTTTCACACACACACAAACATACATAAATAAAAACATATTCAAAATCTCTCAGTTTGAAGTATTTTGTTTTATTTGGAAGGTGGTTTGTGGCTTCAACTGATTTTTAGTCTTTTACACTTCCAACTGATATTTTTTGACCAAAAGTATCAAAATTAACAAAACAAAGTTTCATAATAAGATCTTTTGGTCATATGCACAACAAAAACAAACACAATTACTATGATTTTAGAGTATTCACTTCAGTGTTCATTGTTTCAGCATTAGTAAAAGCATTATCCATATCTGTGTCCATGAGTGGGATTTCGGACCAACATGTGGAAGGAAAGGCATTAAAAGAAAGGGACTTAATTATTATGAATATGAGGTGTATTCTATATTCCCCAGAAAACATGGGGACCCAACTGCCCCTTGCTTCCCACCCTCACAATCCCACCTATGCCTGTGTTCATTATTGCGACATTATTAAAAGCAGTAAACATGCCTTAACATAATAATTTTTCCATCTTCTTTTTTTCTTTAAGTTCTTGTTAAACTAGGTTTATTTTTTGCTTACATTTTATTGGCATTCACATTATGAAACAGTTTACGTGCTAGTCCTTCTAATGCTGCAACACACCGAGAATTAGGGAAGAATAAGAACTAGTTAAGATTACAAAATCTTCACAGTAATAAGTATCTAAAAAATATACTTAGAATAAATTAACGGAATTGTTTCACTTAGACAAGTAATATTATCAACAAGTATTGTTAAAGATTTATAACAGTTAAATGACTTAACACACAATATACATAAAAAATACTAACACAGTTTTCAAAATACCGTAAATATTTTCATGTGGTACTGAAGACCAAAAAAACTATATAAATTGACGAGTAAGTTATTAGATTTATGTACAGGTCAGTAGTAAAAATATAATTAGTATCATTCAGTTTTGATATTAAATATTAGCAGATTCATTTGGTTACAGCAGGCTGGTAACTCCCACCTCTCTAATTCTAAACTGAAAATGTTTATCATAGTAGTTATAACAGTTTTGAACTTGGCGAGATTAAAACGAGAAAGATAAAAAAATTTAAAACAAGTACCTGGACAAGGAGGGTTTGTTGAACAGTGGGTATCCTCCATTTCAGGACCAAGACATATCCTTCCTCCATGGGCAGGAGAAGGATTGCCACAATACCTACGCCGTGTTTTCAGAGCTAAACCACAAGACTGAGAACATGCTGACCATGCTGACCATAATGTCCATTGACCATTTTCTACAAATATAAGCAAACTGACATATGTAAAATTTCAGAAAAAAAAAGAAAGAAAAGAAAATGACCTGACATAAGGCAGATGGTACCATATAATTTTAAGGCAACTTATAGGTAAGATAACTATAAATATTTCAGGATTCACGTACTGCCTTCAGTAGGAAATCAAAGCTATGTTGTACTACTACTACTACTACTTGTGGCAACTCCACTTCATTTAACTCATTACACTTCCTTCAAATCTTTCATTTAACAAGAAAATATACAATTCCTTTTGAGATCACAAAGCTAACCTTAGCAGAAACTTCACGAAATACAAAGACTTACGTGTGCAATTTGAAACTTGTATTTTACGTCCACTGCACTGTTCACCGCCATTTTTAGGCGAAGGATTGGTGCAAGTTCTGTCTCGACATAGACACCAATCACTGGAAGGTCCTTTGCCTGACTGTTCGCACTGAAACCACGAAGACCACTGGCTCCACCCACCATGAACTGTAGATAAAATTAACATAAATAGTCTTAAGAAATACAGATATATAGTAATGGATAAACCTGAAAATAAAGCTCATCATTCAAGACACTGTGCTAATAAAAGATTGCTCTTACAAACTGACCTTTAATTATTCTGTTACAAGGGCTTTTCACCGTACTACTGACAGCATTATATTACAAATGATAGCAACTTTCCTACCTTGGTTCCTAGCCTTAAAGTAAGAACTAGTCTTATACAAAGAATTTTAAAAAGTTGCAAGATCTTGAGAGATTTTCACATTACACAATCAAATTCGACATTCATTACATCATAAAAATGAATTCTCTTGCCAAGTTATCCATGGTATATATCCCATATTTTCACATGCTTTTCTCAATTTATGTATCTAAATTTCTGAGAAAAGCATTTTATTAATTAAATTTTAAGTTTAACTTTTTAAATCTATGCTTGTAAAACAAGTAACTTTTTAAGTTTGCTCCATCTCTCCACTTTTAAAATCTGATACCCGACATCCCCTTCTGGGTTGTTTCCTCACTCACCTGGTATAACTTTGTTTGGACAACCTGTTGGAGACTGTTCCCAGAAACTGCTGTGAGGGCTACGATAAGGGGCAGTGGTGCACTGTAACTCATGCCTGTTCCAACCACAGTACGGATCCATGGAATTAAGGCATGAACTGAAAAAAAAAAAAATGCTTAAAAAAAGGAAACAAAAGAAATATGAAACAAGGATGAAATCTAATTATAGTATTTTGGCACTTGCAAGAATGTGGATTGATCTCCTTTGAATGGTTTAGCGTGAGTGTATGAAAAATAACCTTCAGGTCAATGACCTACTAACAAGTTATAAATACTTTGGCAATTGTCTTGTAATTCACTCCTGAGGATGACGTTGTAATGTCAAAACATGTAGAGTCATCAACTTTTTGAAGGCCATAGACAGGCTTAAATAAAATGTTTTTAATCGTGTACCAGTGTACCAGTTTAATGTTGAATATTATTTATGATTTTAAGGATGAAATCTAGTATTACTAGGGAGGCCCGGCATGGTCAGGTGGTTAAGGCACTCGACTCGCAATCTGAGGGTCGAGGGTTCGAATCCCTGTCACACCAAACATGCTCGCCCTTTAAGCCGTGGGGGCATTATAATGTGTCGGTCAATCCCACTATTCGTTGGTAAAATAGTAGCTCAAGAGTTGGCAGTGGGTGGTGATGACTAGCTGCCTTCCCTCTAGTCTTACACTTCTAAATTAGGGACGGCTAGCGCAACTAGCCCTCGTGTAGCTTTGCATGAAATTCAAAAAACACAAACAAACAAACAATTACTGGGGAATATAAAACAAAATTTTAATAATATAATGGCCCCTAAATTGGAAAAACCATCTTTACGTAGACACATAAATACACTCATCTTTAAGGAAATATTAACAAACTGTGACATTATTTGAATTTTCCAAGAGAAAAACAGACAGTACATCATACTACATACGTAATATGCAGTCAGAAACACATGCATATACAGTATACAACCAAAATAACATAACATTTAGTTACTGAAGTATCTTAATTTTTTTTCTCAAATAATTATAAAGTGCACACTCCAAGAGTTTCCAAGACTAGTATTCTGCCTTTAGTTTCCATAAACTTAAATCTCCCATTAGGTGGATACTCATCGAAGCTTTATTCACACTTGAAATGGTTATGACAGAAATCACAAAATTATTTTTATGCAAAAAACGCAAGTTTTTTTGTTTGGTTATTTACAATACAAATACTGTACACACCCATGACTCTCTCTTTAAAGTATATTTGCTGATAACTTCTTGTATTAAACCAATCTCTTTTAATAATAATTAGTACCTGTTTCAAAACCAATGGTGGAATACACAAAAATAGCTTTAAAAAAATGAATTTTCTCCATATGAATTCAGTTATTATAAGCTCCACACAAGCCAAAAACAGAATTATGGAAGTTAATTAAGTAAGATATATGTATTCTTAAATTTTAGTATACTGTTTTTGTATTATGTTATATCCTGTACAAGTAATGTTGTGACTAAGACTTTTATTCACAAAAACGAAAACTGATATGTTTTCAGCCTCAACTACTTGGGTATTCGGCAAAACATTTTTGTTGCTTGTATAAATGGATCTCCACACTCTTTTTAACAGTTAACAAAATAAAAGTAAAGAGTTTTTAACAATGCAAATCAGTAATTAGAATTTACAAAATAACAAATTAAGTATAGATCATGTTTTTTTGTTTAATTTTGTGTGATATTTTTATTACGAAATATTTTACTGTAATTGACTTACCTAAATTCTATGATCCATCAGTTACGCACAGGAAAATAAGAAAACAAGGGTTAATTAAATCTAAGTAATTATCACTTTATCTTACATAAGTGTAGAAGCTTCTGGAAACAGTTGCTGGCATTTAACAAGTTATACAAAAAAACAAAATCCAAAATTATTTCTTTACTGTACATGCCTTCACAACGTAAATAAATTTATTTTACAGAAAAAAAAATGTGTACCATTCAAATACTTGTATTTATTCAACAGCACCACCTTCGACTTATACTATGATGGTACAAAGCAGTATTTTTTTCCTTAAATAAGTTTATATTAGTGGATCCACATTATTTATTTTTAATTATAATACAATTTATTATACTGTTTTTCACTAAAATTACACTCAGATCCTATAACCTGTAAAAAAAATATACCACAGTGCAATGTTACACAAGGGCTATCTGCACATAGACTAATTTTTAACTGACAGACTTGAGGAAGATAGCTAGTCAATAGCACCCACAACCAACTCTTGTGTGACTGAACAGTGGGATTTGATCTAGTGTTTAACGTGGCTTGCAAAAGGTGCCAGTATACAAGTATTTGGATGGAGGGAGGTATATTTGTGTCTTGTATTTATGAGAAAGCAACTAAGGTTGTCTGTTGCCGTCTCTAATTTTGAAATACTGACCTGAATGAAGGCAGCCAGTCAGCAGCAACGTACCTTCCATCAGTCACTCTAAAGGACTTGTTGTCACTCTGATAGAGGTTAAAATGATGGGGAGGATATATTGTGGTATTGTAAACATTCAAACCTGTCTTGTAAGCTCCAGAACCCTACTGAAGTGACAACCTTCCCCTATGTTTGTGGGGATGAGCAGGTTGGTGTTTCTGAGAAATATGGGCAGTGACCTGAGGTGAAACATACTCATGCTATAATTGTAAAGAAACTAAAGCCAAATGTATTTTTGTGTAATGTCAAAGACATTTTTGTACAGGTATGTCATAATGCCATGTTTTTTCTTACTGGTATGAATATCAACACACATACTCCCCACTTTAACCACTGATTTGACAAATATCAACACATACCTCTCCACTTTAACCACTGATTTGACGAATATCAACACGTACCTCCCCACTTTATCCACTGATTTGACGAATATCAACACGTATTTCTCCACTTTAATCACTGATCTGACGAATATCAACACATACCTCTCCACTTTAATCACTGGTTTGACGAATATCAACACATACCTCTCCACTTTAACCACTGATTTGACGAATATCAACACGTACCTCCCCACTTTAACCACTGATTTGACGAATATCAACACATACCTCTTCACTTTAACCACTGATTTGACGAATATCAACATGTACCTCTCCACTTTAATCACTGGTTTGACGAATATCAACACATACCTCTCCACTTTTAACCACTGATTTGACGAATATCAACACATACCTCTCCACTTTAACCACTGATTTGACGAATATCAACACATACCTCCCAACTTTAACCACTGATTTGACGAATATCAACACATACCTCCCA